GCGGTGAGACTCGCATTGCTGGAGGCTCTCGGAGGACTGTGAGTGACGGATCTGGTTTCCTGTTTGTACTTCAGAATTTAATGCTAAAGTTATTTAATAGAGCCAGAAAGATCATCTCCTTTTGCTGTGTATAATTTGCTGGTGGAATACGGCCCCCAGGCAGATAAAAACTCAACTGCCCCTGGAACGAAGGAAGAGCGCGATCACTGCGCGATGTTTCCAGGACGACATCTGCGTACCAAAGAGGTTGGGAAGAGATTAAATCTGTTGCTTACCTCGGCTCATTACACTGGAGAGGTTAGGTTAGTTGTTTTTTCCCTTCCTCATAAGCATTAATACATGAATGCTGCTAATAAGGTCAATCGGTTTCCTTGGCAATAGCAGCTACCAGCGATGCACTCCCAGTTAATGGAACATGGGAGCCTTTGCGTTTCCGAGGACACGAGTGGTCCCTGCACGAGCTCAGAGCCCCCTCCTCTCCCGCTGCTGAAACGAGGTGTGCTGAACCATAGGAAAGCGCTGAAACGTTCTTGCCGGAGTGCAAGGTCCGTGGCAGTGTGATAATCAGTGTGGTTCCATGGCCTGGGGCAGCCCCAGCCTCCCCGCTGTCCCCTTAGTCCCTTGGGTCAGTTTTTTGCCTCTCCTCCGCAGCAGCTTTGGGTAGGCGTTTGGGCAGCTTTGGGTAGGCTTTGGGTAGTCCTCTCCGAAGGACTGGTGAGCAGCAAGCAATGCTTTTGGCCACAGTGGTTTTGAGCTTCTTGATGTCCTCAACCGTGCTTTCTGTGGCTTTCTGGCTTTCCAGCACAGTCCCTGCTTGGGGGTGACCATCACCAGCCCTCTTGCCTGCTCCCAGTGCCCCCCAGGAACGTAACCCTCATTTTAAATGAATAATCACCTTCAAAAACCAAACGGGGCTTGTGCAAACTCTTCCGAGATAACCCAGCTGGAACGAGCCCTCCGGAGCACATGGCATCAGCCCTTTCAAGCCTCTGTCATTTCTCATCTGCTGTTTTGATTCCCCTCGGTGTGGGCTCTTCAATCTGTGCAGAATGATTTCCTATTACCTTTTTGTTGCTGAAGGCATAAATCTTCTCCCACAGACTAGTTTCTTTCATGCACAGGCAGAGCTGTGTGGTGCCGGTGGCGATAACTAACCAAACCGGGCTTGGATGTTTTATGGGCTTTTTTATTTTATAGTGGACATTTCCTCCTCCCTTTGACAACAAATGACCTCAATCAACTTTAATATTCCAACAGCAGTGATTTTCAATACTTGAATCCTTCTTCTAGGGCCATTTAAAGTTTCTGACCAGAACAAGTAGCCCAGTGTAGCATGGCAAACATTGATTATATATGGAGTGAGCTCCAAGCTTGTTTTGATGCTGATGGGCTGGGAAGGGAAGCAATCTCATGCTGCTTTCTTAAAAAAAAAAAACACTCTTTACTGAGCCCACAGGATCATCGTCATTCTGAAATGCAATAAATGGCTAATTGACCTAATCCACACTGTGAGGAAGAGAATGATTAGCTAAAGCCCTCTTGTTTTTATAACTGAGTAAAATAGAGCTGGGTGGGTTTTTTTTCCCTTTTCCTATGAAAGTCAGTAATTTGGTGCAAGCTTCAGCATGCACAAATATATCTATAAAAGGCCCTTTCTAGTTATCTCCCTTTCTCAGAAGGGCTAAATCCTCACTGGACACAGAGATACTGGCACAGCCCCCCTGTACCAGCGGAGCAGAGCTAGCTCAAGCGGTGCAACATCTGCACGGGGCAAAGGGCTGAGGGACGGGGGGTCTTTCTCCGGAGGCTCGTCCTTTGCAGCGCGGTCCTGGGTGATCACACAAGGGACCCGACCGCAGCATTTCACGGCAGAGGGGGACGGCTGGGAGGAGGTGCTCCCAATTCGCAGCAAATCTGCGGCAGCATTGGGCACAGAGCCTTGCGTTTAGCCCTCTGCGACCAAAAGTTGGGCTGGTGGGCTGCTGGTAGCTCCTTGCAGAAAGAGCCTGATAGATGCAAAATATCTCCCAGTTGATTGATGTGTTTCACAGCAGGTAGAAGCTCGGCTGGAGGGGAAATGTGGCAAGAGCAAGCCTCCTGGGTGGTTTGTGTCAGTGAGGGAATGGAGCGTGCAAAGCATCAATAAATGATGCAGCACTCTAAATGCAAAGTGCCTCTGGTTTATGAATTTGTACGGCCGAACTGGGGGGTCCAGACAGATGCTGAGATCCAGGATGGCTGACTCCTGTGCAAACACTTAGCAGAAAACAAAAACCTTGCAGCAAGGAGCTTGTGATTTAGATAATTTAAACAGACAGGGGGGCCTGAGCCATGCATTGGAAGGAGGGGAGCCCAGTTCCGAGTACTGAGGTACTGAGCAAACCAGTGCCTGCCCTCTTATAGAAGAAATTGCTGGAGTTTCTTTTTTGCAAGGAGAAATCTTGTTCTTGATGAAATCTCCGCATGTTGAGTTGACAAATCTCCATGAGGGATGTACTACTGGCATAGCAGGGCGACGTGCGCGTGAGGCAGATGAAGTAGTGATGGTGGACTTGCTGCCCGTATCCCATTGCCTGCCCTGGGTATAGGCACAAGCTTTACATGCTGCCTGTCAGCCTTTCTATACGAACAAAACATAGGTGCCATAGGCTCCGTCCCGCAGCCTGCCCCAGGCCAGGAGACCCCTGCATGCGGCTCCTGGGGAGGGGGAGAAGTGCAGCCTCCCCCGAGGATGGGCTGATGGTTAGGGATGCAGCTGAGACCCGGCCAGCCTGGTGTATCACACCTTACTTAATTTATACCTCTGCTAAAGGTACCTTATTAAAGTTGTAGTAATGGTGGAAATAGTCCAGGAGTGCTGCAGGGAAGGTCTCCTGTGAGTTAGGACAAACCTGCTCTCACCAGTTGGCTGCCATGTCCTCTGCTAGCCCCTGCCATGGTTTGGGTGCTGGAACAAACATCATATAAACAGTCCTTGCTGCAAATAAAAAGCCATTTCCTTCAGTGCGCTGAGACTGTAACACTGGAGAGAAATACCCCGTGGAGCAGTATGCCATTTGCCATTCTCAGTATTCTGCTCTCCCGCATTAGTTTTGCACACTGGCGACATTGCAAATTTAACAGATGCTTTTATGATGCTTCTGTGTCCACTTTGTGCCCACCCTGCAGAATCCAGCCCATAAACTGGGCTATTTATTTTTCCAGCCAGCTACGGCAACTTTTTTTTTTTTTTTTTTTTTTAAAGCACCCTGGAGAACCCAAACCTGCAGTGCTTAGCACTGGTTTTTTCCTGGGGTGCTCTGGGCTGCCCGCTAGGCATTCAGTCTGTACAGCGGAAAAATTCAACACTGGGTCTTTATTAAACATTGTCATTTATTTTGATTACGGATAGTTCCTTTATTTCAAACAGAACAGTTTATTCACTGCAAAGTTTTTTTTCATGCCTGTTGGAAAGAGTTAGCATTAAAAAAAAAAAAAAAGGAAAAAGGCGTGGATACATGCAAAACATACTGAACTTTGCCAAATGTATTAAAACGAGTAGCAGAGTTTCTTCGAAGTTACCTACTTGCATACAGAGGAGAAACAACCACTGAAGCTTGAAGCCCCTCTGGAAAAAAGCTTCCTGGTGCAGTGATGTTAAATGAGCAGAGCCACAGAGACGACCAAAACGTCTGACTGCGATTGCACCCAGAAAAAGCAAAGCCAGAGAGTCACTGCTGCGAGCCAGGAAAACGATGCTGTAAAGCTGGTCAGAGGAAGGGCTTTGAAGAGATAGAAAGGGGCTCCCTCCCTCCCACAGCTGGTCCTTTGACCGTAAGGGAGAGGAAGTTTTTCACACTTTCCTGCCCACCCCCAGGTTTATGATCAGATGAAATTCTGGTTCAAAAAGCCAAAGTGCATGTTCTAGCGCTGCTGCTCTGGGGGTGATCCATTTTCCATCAAAAATAAAATAAAATCAAACCCATGTCTCTTAGAAAAAAAACAAAACAACATTTTAGAAACAAAGCACTCTGGTCCGGGGGGCGATGGACACAGCCAAGAGACCCAAGGGCCTTTCTGAGGCTTTAAGTCTCCAGCTGGCTGCGTCTGCCCAGCCCTCAGTGGCAGTGATACAGGGGTGAACCCCGGGATTATTTTTTCTTTTATAAACCTTCAGTATTCTGGTCTCTTTTCTCAGGAACAGCAATCAACTTGCGCTGAGCCCCAGCTCTAGATTTTGCAGATCACTCCCCAAAATGGATCAAATACTCGGCGCTGCCGGTGCAAGCTCCAGGTACCACATTAAAAGCTCTGGAGTTATTACAGCAGCACGGCTGGTGGGAAACTGGATTTTACATCTGAATAAATACTAGGCAGGCACAAGTGCCAGCCCGATTTCAGTAAGGCTGGAGGGCGAGAGCGGCGTCCGGGCACGCTGCGGGCTGGAATTTAGCTCCGCACCAGGAAAGCAAACACAACACCCCTGGTTAGTGTGCGATCAGACTTTTGTTGTATCTCAGCAGATATGCTATTCATCAGCAACTCCTGAAGTCAGGGTTGGAAAGGATTTAAGGTTTGTCTTGGCGGCAGTCCTCTTTGGGGTGACCGCTGTCTGTCCATCACGTGTGGGAGAGCTGCTGGGGTCTGGCTTGATCCAGCGCTAAGGAGAGGGAGCCCTTCCCTCTGGGCACCTTCTTCTCCCCTTTTGTGCTTTTCCAAGGGCCTCGTATTACACCACCTTGGAGATGCATTTTTGTGAGGTTAAAAAGCATAGCATGTCACTAATGTTTAAAAATACCTGGCCAGCTTTTATAAAACACAAGTATTCAATGCGATCACCTTTATGTGTTCTTTGAAAAGAAAAAAAGTTGACATTCATCGTACGGGAGGAAGGCAGCAGTCCGGACTCCCGAAGCATCCCACTGCGTGAATCGACCCTCCGCCAGGACCTCCAGCGCCAAGGTCTCGGTTTTAAGTCGTCCTTGCTCAATGTGCCCACCCAAGAGCCACGGAGCCAGACATCATGTCTGCGGTGTCGCAGCACCTTGCTCCGAGTTGGGGAGCTCCCCAGCCTCGACTGTTCTGTCCATCTGCTGCAAGCCTATGTTGTCAGTCTTGCCTGGTCCAGCTTGCACGTCCTCCTGGCTCTCGGCCAGGCCATCTTGGCCCTCCAAATCGCTTACCTGACCTTCGCCGAACTCCAGAATTGTTGGCAAGTTGCCTTGCTTTGGGCATCGTCTCTTTAGGCTGACCAAGAAGGGTTGCGGCAAGGAGAAGATGTCCACGTTGTTGCCGAGGTCGATCCAGGTGATGCTAGGGAACTTCTTGGGGTCCTTCAGGGTTTCGGTGAGGTCCCGTAGGATGGCTTTGGTGAGCCGGTTGCCATTGAGGGAGAGGGTGGTGAGGTGGGGCAGCACGCAGAGCGCTGGCAGCAGTTGCAGCAGCATGTCGTCCGTCAGCTCCGTGAAGCACAGCTCCACCGTGTCGATGTGCTCCGAGCTGTGCTGGAGGTAGGACGTGACGCGGTCCAAGTCTTTCAGTGTCAGCGGGATGCCCGACAAGTCCACTGTGTTGTCCTGGGGCTTCCCCATCAGGACAGCTTTCAAGCTGCGGGGGGAGAAAAGGAGAGGGACATTAATGTGGAGGGGGACGTCTCTGCTTTGGGCTCCCTGGCTGCTTTCGGAGGGGGCAAGAATGTGAGTTATTTAGGTAGGATGTTCAGCTGGGGCTAACCGTCTCTTCTGTAGAGGCCAGGCGTGTGTCTCTGCAGTTGGGGGGCAGAGAGACATTTCAAGGCTGTTTATTGATGGAAGATGGCCAGAAGCAAGGAGTCCATATTCAAAAACCATAATTCAGAAAGAGTGCAGAGTTCTTTTCCACAGCCACTGCAAACCCCTGGAATAAAGAGGCTATCCTGCTGTTTTTAAAGGTACAAAAAAGGGTAAGGAAGCCCTTGATTAGATGGACAGGAATTGTAGCTTATGCCGGTGCTGGTGTAGCACTTCTCATTAACACTGCTGATTAGGAAGCTCTTTGAGCAGGAGGACACGTGTTTGTCCTCTCGGCTGTACAGGTGGGAAACTGAGGACCTGCACCAGAACGACTTTAACCCAAGACAGCAAATATAGGATAGACACCTCCAGGGTTAGGTGATTTGCTCTAGTATTTCCAGCGTGTTAGACCTATTATGTCTCTTCAGTCTAGCTGCTGAGCAGATGAACACTACGGAGAAATCCTTAGATAAATAAATTAATTCTCATGATGGCCCTACAGAGACTCATTAGCATGAGTTAGACTGGAGTTTCACAGGTCAATTTATCTTCTAAAGCCTATCAAAGACACATCTACAATCAGGACCTGTCGGCAGACTAGCGCTGCTGAGGACTTTTTGCTAACAAATTATTCTGAGTGAATTAGGAGGTGGAAGGAGCCTCACGCATGCTAATTGCTCGTGTCAACTTGGTGAGCTCACATGTCTCATCTGCTGCGGTGGCACACGGGTTAGCCTCACGCCAGACCAGCCAGCTGTGAAAATGCTTTTGCCTTTCATTACAGCCCGAGCCGGGGAATGGTTCTGCCCAGCACCTGTTGGTTTTTCTAGCTGAAAATGCAAACCAGCACTAACACTGCTCTTCTGAGCCGCCGAGCAAGCTCCCTGCTCCGCCGCACAGATGCTCAAGTGCATCTGCTCCGGTGCCAACGCACCTTGTTTGAAATTTGTCTTGCATGGCACGGTAAGATGTTTTACGGCTAGTCCTACAACGTGCGACCCAAGCCGTGAGCTGTTTGTGATCTGGGCGGGGTGTGCAGGCAGCTGGTAAGCGCTGGGCTTTACCCCTGAGGAGTTACAGAAGTAACACAGCTAGAGAGTCGTAAGTTGTGCTGAGCTTCCATTCATAAATAATGCACATAGACAGACAACCTTGCAAGGTGTTGTGAGCTCCCCACTAGACTTTGGGGGAGTAACTTAGAATAGAGGAAGGTGGAAAGCAATGAAGGTTATTTGTAACCATCAAAGCATGTCACGGTTGGCTCATCAATACCCGGGTTCACCACTGGGGTAGGAGTTTGCTGTGGCCACTTGAGAGAGTACTGGAGACCTGCAAGCCAAGGAGGAGAGAAATTTCTGCAGTTCCTATACAAATCAACCCCAAAATGCAGGGCGGGCGGGGAGGGTGTGCGTGTACTTTCATCACCAGAATAACTTTCCTAAATAATCACAGGAAGGCTCAAATTGCTACAACTTACGGTTAAAGAGTTTGCTGCAAGCCAGCGTGTCTCGAGGTGTTGGGAAAGGGCCAGGGAGAGCAGAAAGCCTGGATCAACCCAGCAGCAGAAGGGGACGTGCCATGAGGTGTCCCCCCCGTGAAGGATGGCACTTGCAATGCATGTGTGCATGGGCATGAGCTAAGTGCTCTAGTCTGAGTATCTGTAGTCATCAGGTTAAGTAAGATTTGGGAGCATGGGGGTTGTACAAGGTATTGTGAATGTATGGATGATCTGCCATGCCTGTCTGCTCTGCCAAGGGTACGGAGCTATCTGCAGTGCCTTACTTGTCTGTCTTTCACAGCCCTGTGGAATATTAGCTGCCTGCCTTTGAGTCAACAGGCAGTGATTTCCCAATCACCTTGTGTGGTGGGGCAACGCAGCTGATGCAGTCAGCAAGGCAGCTAGCTTAACAGGGCTTACCTTGGGTTTAGCAGCAAATACAGAACAAGCTGTGGCAGGGCCGTCCTGCCTGCCATCAGCTACACGCATGTGCACCGGTTGAGAAAGCAACTGCATTTGTACTTGGGGTTAAGCTGTTGGCCAGATAACATAATGCTGTGGAGGACGCGGGGTCAAAATGCTGCTCTGCTGTCTCCTCTGGGCATGTTTTTCCAAGCTGCCCATGAGAGCTGACTGCCCAGAGACTGTTATTTCAAACAAGGGGAAAAATGAGACCTTACTCCGAAGGTCCATGCCCATAGGTTGTGTGCCAGTTAACAAGAGAGTCTCCAAATCCAGAGCTACTCCTCTCTCTGGAAGGGCACAAAAGCCATGTACTGGGTGCCCGTGGCCACAGGTTGGCTGCGGAGACCTGGCTATGACCCAGCCGAGCCAGGGTGAGAGCAGGCAAATTCCTGGGTGCTGTTTTTAGACCAGAAACATCTCACAAATCTCGACCAGCTTGTGATGGGGAGGTTGGGAGGAGTGAAAGATCTCTTTTAGAGTTCCCTTGGTGATGCTGGACACAGTCAGTTTAGTAGTACTTTGTTCTTACTCCTCCTTTGAAGATCTTATTACAAGGAAGAAATGGATGCAGATAAACACTGGGATTAAAGTCAACTTCCATCTAGAGGCTTGGTTAAACGCTAGGAAAACAAGCTCTCTTCCCAGGTTCAATTTGCACTTAAGCCGTGCCTTTCTGATATTGCACCGTAGCAAAAAGCGAGGTAATTTCACAGAGCCTCCTCGGCTCGCGCAGGTACCGAAATGGGAGCTGGATGCAACAACTGTGCAGAAGGCTCTTGGATTGCAGTCATTTCACATGAACTATTTGTTTTCAGGGAACACCCCATAGGAAAGAACTAAATTTGTTTTTTTTTTTATTTGTGGTTCCCTGAGCCCTTTATGGGCTCACGTGGGCCACTGCAACCCTCCTGCTCTAACAGAAAGGCACTGGCCTCTTGTGCTATGAGCAAATTGACTGAATTTCACTTAAACTAGGCTGTGCAATGTTAAGGTCTCCTTAAGGAAATCAATTCCCCCCGCC